GGGCTATAAGTTGGTTGTCAGCCACTGCCCTTTTGAGGCTCTGTCTCAGCTGTCTCCAAAGGTTACCCAGATACATTGGGTTATTCCACCATTCTTCAGACCTTGCACATTCCAGTCTGGGATTTGTAGATGTCCTCCTCATACTCTTCACTGAAATGCCTTGCATTCATGGTGGTGAGAGATACACTAATAGTGCTGGTTGTCATCAGGTCAGAGACTGGGACAGTCTGAACCTTCATGTGGCCAAGTCAGGAGCAGCTGGCCAATGGTCCCAAAGTGATAAAATGTCAGATTCCATGAAGGCTTTCCATGGCACCTGAGCAGTAGTCCCAAGCAGCCACTCTGCTCAGCTTCAGCTCTCTATCGGGGAACTTGGTGGGACCTTCAAAAGGGGATTTCTGCTAGCCCTATAGCATGACTTGCCCACCCAGGCAAGGAGCTGAGGATAGCATCTCCTGGCCCCATCTCACCAGAGGAGCGAACAACTGGAAGCTGCGTGGCCAACAGTGTGGTAGCTGAGAGGTCAATACATCTATTTTTATAACGTAAGTATTATCCCAAAGGCAGGAAGTCAGAATCTAGACAGTTTCAGGAGATTTGTTGAACAGCTCAACAGTGACAGGACACTGTATTTAATCTCTTGTCTTCCCTCACAATAACTAAATGACTGTGTCAACCCAAACAACATTAATGGGCAATATTCCAAGTATTAAGAAATAAGGTGGACAGAAAAGGGGGCTTCCTCACATGCATCTGTCAAGACCTTTTATGACAAAGAAAATAAATTCCAGAAGTTTCTAAGGAAACATCATCTTATGTCACCTTAGTCAGAACAGAGTTACATAATCAACCCTGGCTCAAGGGAACCTGGAAAATAAGTGATAGTGTTGTTGTCTTTGTCTTCACTTTTTCTTGTATAATGGAAGGTTCATGTGGTAAAAGGGGTTTAAATGATGTTTATATCCTGCCTTATTTAGACCTTCAGCAACCCAGAAAGCCTGTGGAAGTCTTTAACAGGGGTTGGGGAGAGAATGACATTTCAGTGGAAAAGAAGAAGGAAAAATGGAAGGGGATACATGTCAAGGAAGCAAGTTAATCTGACATATTCAAAGTGATCAGGACGTAAGGAAGACGTGAAACTGCATTTTTGGGTTTAAAACTTCAACAGGTATTTTCAATAATCCCCAATGCTTTACATTTATTTAATCTTTTACAGTTTGTAAATCACTCCCATTCCATTAAAAAAATTATTGAAGCATAGTTGATTTACAATATTGTGTTAGTTTCCGATGTACAGCAAAGTAAATCAGTTATACATATATATACATATATTTTCAGATTATTTTCCATTCTAGCTTATTACAAGATATTGAATATAGTTCCCTCTGCTATCCTGCAGGATCTTGTTTTTTTATCTTACTTCATATATAGTCATGCATATCTGTTAATCCCAAGTTCCTAATTTATCCCCCAACCCCTTTCCCCTTTGGTAATCATAAGTTTGTTTTCTATGTCTGAGTCTATTTTTGTTTTGAAAATAAGTTCATTTGTGTCATTTTTTTAGATTCCATATATAAGTGATATCATATATTTGTCTTTCTCTGACTTACTTCACTTATGATAATCTTTAGATCCATCCATGTTGCTGCAAATGGCATTATTTCACTTTTTTATGGTTAATATTTCACTCTCTCTCTCTCTCTCTCTCTCTCTCTCTCTATATATATATATATATATATATATATATATATATATATAGTGTATATATACCATAACTTCTTTATCCATTCATCTGTCAATGGACACTTAGGTTGCTTCCATGTTTTGGATATTGTAGATAGTGCTGCTATGAATATTGGGGTACATGTATCTTTTCAAATTAGAGCTTTCTCTGGATATATGCCCAGCAGTGGGGTTGCTGGATCACATGGTAACTCTATTTTTAGTTATTTAAGGATCCTCCATACTGTTCTCCACAGTGGCTGCACCAATTCCCAACAACAGTGAAGAAATGTTCCTTTTTCTCCACACCCACTCCAGCATTTATTATTTGTAGATTTTTCAATAATGGCATTCTGACCAGAGTGAGGTGATACCTCATTGTAGTATTGATTTACAGTTCTCTAATAATTAGTGATGTTAAACTTCTTTTCATGTGCCTGTTGCTTACCTGTATGTCTTCTTTGGAGTGCTGTCTGTTTAGGTCTTCTGCCCATGTTTTTATTGGGTTATCTATTTTTTTTTATATTGAGCTGTAGGATCTGTGTGTATATTTTGGAAATTAAAACCCTTGTTGCATTGTTTGCAAATATTTTTTCTTACTCTGTAGGTCGTCTTTTTTTTTTTTTTTTTTTTTTTATTTTTTCTTTCTAACATTCATTGTTGGTATAAAGAAATGCAACAGATTTCTGTATGTTAATCTTGTATCCTGCTACTTTGCTGAATTTATCAGTTCTAGTAGTTTTTGTGTGGAGTCTTTAGAGTTTTCTATATATAGTAGCATGCCATCTGCATATAATGGCAATTTTACCTCTTCCCTTTCAATTTGGATATTTTTTCTTTCTTTTCCTGGCCTGATTGCTGTGGCTAGGACTTCCAATATTATGTTGAATAGAAGCAGTGAGAGTGGGCATCCTTGTTCCAGATTTTAGTGGGAAAGCTTTCTGCTTTTCACCCTTGAGTATTTTGTTGGCTATGGGTTTGTTATAAATAGCTTCTATCATGTTGAGATATATTCTGACTATACTCTGGTGATAGTTTTTTGTGTTTTTTTTTTGTGGTATGCGGGCCTCTCACTGTTGTGGCTTCTCCTGTTGCGGAGCACAGGCTCCAGATGTGCAGGGTCAGGGGCCATGGCTCATGGGCCCAGCCACTCTGCGGCATGTGGGATCTTCCCGGACCGGGGCATGAACCCGTGTCCCCTGCATCGGCAGGTGGACTCTCAACCACCACGCCACCAGGGAAGCCCAGTGATAGCTTTTTATCATGAATGGATGTTGAATTTTATCAAATGATTCTTCAGCATCTATTGACATGATCATGTGTTTTTTGTCTTTTCTTTTGTTGATATGGTATATCACACTGATTGATTTGCGTATGTTGAACCATCCTTGTGTTTCTGGGATGAATCCAACTTCATCCCAGATTTTGTATGGTTGTGTTTTCACTGTAATTTGACTAAAGGTATTTTTAAATTTCCTCTTTGATTTCATTGTTGATCCATTGTTTTTTTTAGTAGTATGTAGTTTAGTCTCCATGTAATCATTTTTTTTCATTTCTATTTCTGTGGTTGATTTCTATTTTCATGTCATTGTGGCAGAAAAGCTGCTTGAAATAATTCCTATGCTCTTTAATTTGTTGAGGCTTTTTTGTGTGTTCTCATATGTGGTCTATCCTAGAGAATGTTCTATGTGCACTTGAGAAGAATGTGTATTCTGTTTTTTGGAGGTTGTAATGCCCAGAAAATATCAATTAAGTCTAAGTTTTCTATTGTGTCATTTAAGGTCTCTCTTGCCTTATTGATTTTCTGTCTGGAAGGTCTGTTCATTGATGTCAGTGGGGTGATAATGTCTCTTACTATTATTGTATTCCTGTTAATTTCTCCCTTTATGTCTGTTAGTATTTGCTTTATGTATTTAGGTACTCCTATATTGGGTGCATATATGTTAATGAGTGTAATATTCTTCTACTTATCCTTTTATAATTATATAGTGTCCTTCTTTATCTTTCTTTATCGCCTTCATTTTAAAGTCTATATTGTCTGATATGAGTATTTTTATCCTGCTTTCTTGTCATTTCTATTTGCATGGAATACCTTTTTCCCTCCCCTCACTTTCAATCTATGTGTGTTCTTCACCCTAAAGTGGGTCTCTTATAGGCAGCATATTGTAGGCTTTTGTTTATTATCCAATCTTCTACTCTGTGTCTTTTGATTGGAGCATTTAGTCCATTGACATTTAAGGTAATTATTGATAGGTGTGTATTTATTGCCATTTTAAACCTTGTTTTCCAGTTGATTTTGTATTTCTTCTTTGTTTCTTTCTTTTTTTTCCTTTGTGGTTTTCTTTTATATAACAAATGAATTATATTTCTTTTAAGCTATCTTCTTTTTGTTTTTTTGTAAATCTATTGTATATTTTTGATTTGTGGTTACCATTTTGTCAAGTAGGTTAACCCATTACTATATCTACTTCCTTTAGACTTGTAGTCATATAAGATCAAATACATTCTAAAAAAACATACATTTTCTTACTCTTTTCTCCCACATTTTATAAGTTTGATGTCCTTTTTACATCTTAATGTTTATCAGTTTGCTCTTCATTGTAGTTATAATCACTTTCACAGAATTTTTTTTGGTTGATTTTTTTTTAAATCTATGTACTGACTTCTTTAAGTCATCTATAACCCATTTACATATTTGCTTTTCCTATTGTGTTTCTCTCTTTCCTATAGATTCTTGTTTTTTTTTTCTATTTAGAGAAGACCTTTCAGTATTTCTTTTAAGATAGGTTTAGCATTGTTGTATTCTTTTAGTTTTTGCTTGTCTCAGAAATTTTTTATCTCTCTTTCTATTCTAAATGTTAGTCTTGCTGGGTAGAATGTCCTAGGTTTCAGGATTTTCCCCTTTCAGGACTTTGAATATATCTTGTCACTCCCTTCTGGCCTGCAGCATTTCTGTAGAGAAATCAGTTGATAGCCTTATGGGGAACCCCTTGTTACTAGCTCTGTTTTTCTCTTGCTGCCTTTAAAATCCTCTCTTTAACTTTTGCCATTTTAATTATAATGTGTCTTTGTTTGGGTCTGTTTGGGTTCATCTTGTTTGGACCCTTTGTGTTCTTGTATCTGGACATATGTTTCCATCTTTAGCTTTGGGAAGTTTTTGGCTATAATTTCCTCAAACACATTTTTGACCCCCTCCTCTTCTTTTGGAATTATGCATACATTGGCACACTTTATATTATCCCATAGTTCTAATATAGTGCTTGTATTATTATTTTTTATTTGTCTTTCTGTATGCTGTTCTGATTGGGTGATTTCTATCATTCTGTCTTTCAGATCACTTATTCATTCTTCTGCATTATTTAGTTTGCTATTTATTGCCTTCATCTTGGTATCCACCTCAGCAATTGAGTTTTCTAATTTTGTTTGGTCCCTCTTTTTAGTTTCTAATTCCTTGTTACAGTGATCTGCATTTCTATTGATAGCCTTTCTTATTTCTTTGAGTATTTTTATTACCTCCTTTTTGAATTCCAGGTCTAGTAGACAGGAGAGGTCTTTTCTGTTGTTTGTTTTTTCAGGGGAATTCTCTTGCTCTTTTAATTGAGAACAATTTTTCTGCTTATTCATTTTACTTAAAATTTTGTGACTATGAGTTTAGGAGAATGAGTTATCTACTGTGGTCTCAAAGAGTTGTTTTTATGTGGAAGCTTCCCTGTGTAATCTGTGTGAGTCTAATGCAAGGCCTGTTTTTGGTATGGATGCTTGTCACGTCTTTTCTCAGTTTGTGCTTGTTGTTATCCCCTTGATAGGGGGTGTGATTTGTGCCTTGGTGATCAGAGCCTGATTTTGGACAGGGTCTCCTCTTTTCTCTGTGGTTGTAACAACCCTGTCAGAGGCAGGTTCTCCTTCCCAATTGTTTGAGTAAAGCCCTTAGATCCAGTTTTAAGATACAGCATGAGGTAGGCAGGACTGGAACATTCCTGCTGGGAAAGGTGACACTGAGTATTCCTCTGAAGGAGCTGTTCACTGGGGGGAAGTAAACTCTGTGATGTCATGTGTCACCCATTGTGTGTACTCACAAAGAACACTGTTGTTGGCACTGCCTTCAGTCCTGCCTCTGTTGTAGGAATACAGGCAATCAGCCAGGCATTGTGCTTAAAAAGCCACCAGTGTAAATCTGCTGGTGCAAATCCACCAGCACCCACTGTAGTATGCACCTGGGCCCTCTGTGAGAGCACTGGAAATAGCCCAGACCCCAGCCCCACCTCTGCATGCACACACCTGCAAAGCCCACTGCTGCTGATGCCAGGCTTGTCCCAGCTACAGGAGCACCAGTAATCTGTTCAGATGTCCTTCAGGCTCTGCACTCACAAAGCTGCCTGTAAATCTGCAGAATTCCTGCAGTCACCTGGAATTGGCTCAGATTTCAGCCCTGCCTCTACATGTAGGAAACCTATCAGCACTTGTGCACTCCAGAGCTCCTGGAAGCAGAGCTGTGCCTGCTCTGAGCATGCTGAGAATGAGGCTGCTATAGCAGAGTCATGTCCCCTTTCATGCAAATGTGGACAATGGGGTACTATGGTGGACCCAGACTCCATCAGGCACACAACCCCTGTTGCAGCCCAATGACATTCCAGGCCCTTCAGGTTGTCTCCATGCAGCCAAGTTGAGTCCTCTCTCAAGATCTGTCCACTGAAGCCTGAGCTGCAGCACCTACAAACCATGAACACCATCAGGTGTATGTCTTTGGTTGGGACGTGCAGCAAGAAGGCCAGGACCATCTGAGTTGGCCTCTCTCTGTCCTGCCTGACACAAGCCAGTTTCTTCACTCTCCTCTGATCCCCTGAAACCCCTTATCTGTCCCAGTTGTTCCCAAGGTGAGGGAATCTTTCTTCTTTCACAGTTCCCTCCCAAGGGTTCATGTCCTGTCCTGATTCTGTGAGAATTGTTCTATATATATATATATATATATATATATATATGTATTTTGATTATTTGTGGGAAGAGGTGAGTTTCATGTTCGTGTATTCCATCATCTTGATCTCCACTCTCCCCATTCCGTTTTATTTTCGGTGATTTTGACAATCTGCAAGTCAGATATTATTCCCACTTTATAAATGATTGAGCAACATTTAAGAGAGGTTCTATAACATACCTTAGGCTTGATAGAGATGAGTCTAGACCTTTTGAATCTGAGCCTGGGAGACTCTCTATTATCAATTTTGTTTAAAACAAAATTAAATTTATTAATTTAAAAACAAACCAAACTTTGTTCTGCTCAGTTGTAAAGCATCCCAAAACTGTCAGTGGAAATAAGGATATTTGCTTTTGTGAGTTACTTTGCAAGCATCTCCTTTTTGTGTCCCAGGAAAATGGCATCCACCATTCACTTAGCTCATTTATCACAATATCCTAGACTTTTTGAGTGGTGAGGAGATGGAGAGGCTTAAAACTTAGAATCTCACAATACCAACTTTCAGAGACACATTTTGAAAAGAGGAGTAATTTTAATATTCTTTGAAAATGAATTAAGCATTACTCAAGCAAGAGGTGAGAATATATATGAGTATGCATATTAGAATTTATGTGAATAAAATGATAATGATGTATTAATTACCTTCTACATTGTAAGCACTATGGTTAAGAACAGAACTGGCATTAGAATTCAGGATAGTCTGACTCCAAAGTACATACTCTAAACCCCTATGCTATATTAGCATGTGCTAAATGTATGTTTATATGTATGGATATATGTATATCTCTATATTAATTAGAGTTCTTTCAATTGCAGTTGAAAGAAACCCAACTCCAGTTAGCTGAGGAAAAAAGATAATTGACTGCTAAATGAAACAGGAAAATCCAGTAATATATTGACCTCAAGAATCACAGTGTTTAGAAGCACAGTATTTAAAAACAGTGGATTTTGCACCATTGTATTCTTTATCTCTTGGTTATGCTTACCCCTGTGTCTTGGCCTCATTCCCTCTTTAATAGTTCCACTTGATTAATTTTCCTATATCTTAGATCAGTCATTGTTACCAGGGAAATGGCATATTAATTGTTACCAGGGAAATGGTATATTAATATTGAGCATGGTACATTATATCATGTACCATAAGGGTCCAGGGCCTGATCACCATAACTGACTATACTGACTATACTAAGAAAACTGTCGAGAATGTACAGAGTTCCCCAAAGGAATGCTGGAAAGGAAATAAATACTGCATCTGCACTATATACCACCATTTGGCCATAAAAATATAGACATCCTCTTCCTTTTCACATAATTTAAAAATACATATGCTTACTGTGAAGTTAATCCAAATGTACTCAGCTCTTCCCTAAAGTGGACAATTCAAAGTCATATTTTTTCTCTAGTCCCATGTTTAGAATCTCTGAATCTAGGGTAAATTTCTCTTGGTCAGATTCAACTGTAGATCATCATATTATTCAACCTATGGCCAAATCATAAATCTAACTTTCTCTAACATATTCGAAGTGCATTAAGTCAAGACAAATACAATGCAGACTCCCTTACAGAAAATGGAAGACATAAAACAATCACACAGCGATTGTTAGTCTATTTAGTCTGCCTTACCATTAGAGTAAGTTCCTTGGTCAGCCAATCTGGCAGTCAAAGATCCCACATACTAGAAGGAACTCCCATATTTCTTGTTGGTCATCATCATGGTTGACAGGAAGTATATGAGGATTACTTTTTGTGTAGCTTCACTACTTTCTGATGTCATGGTTATATAGTTTGGAAATTGTCATAGACTGCTGAACAGTCCTGGGATTTCTCTCACAAAAGGAGCCACTCACAACTCCAGTAAACACCAGTTAGATTGCTTAATGAGAATACTATGAGCTAGTAACAAAGAGTAAAAACATTGTTAGTCTTTTTTTATCTGGAGCCCACATTAAGGATATCTATCTTAACAATAGGTCTTAGTGTTCAACCCGGTCTTCTGCCCAGCCTCCTGTTGAAACCCTTTTATGTTAGTCTCTGCCTTCAGGAAAATTTAACAATAGACTGGAATAGAATAGCAAATGGACTCTGATTTCCAATAGAGTCTGCTTCCTAATGAATGGCATTAAAATAGGGGTGATTGATACTTTTCTTTTTCAGTGTATAGCATATTTGAGAAAGTCGTGGTTCATTCAGTCTTCTAAATTTTTCATGACTTTTCCTGGGTCTCAATTTTATATCTCACTATGTTTTGTCCTGTTTTGCTTGTACCAAATTAAAGAAAGGGAAGAACAGCAGTAGACTCTATTTCACAAAGAACTGGCTTCTCTGAACCTGAGTAGAAGGGGAAAATTTGGCAGAAGATTTTCTCTGTTTTAGAACTTTTCAAGATTGTAGAAAGTTACCAATGTACTACCAATATTTTTCTACTATCTTGAAATTACAACCTTGGTAGAAATATGTATGAAGTTCCTTTATGTTGACAAATGACAGAAACCCAAATCAACTTGCTTCAGGAGATGAGGCAACTTATTGACTTATGTAACTGAGATACCATTGTGTCTTAAAAATGGCTGGATTCAAGGGGCTCAATAAACGTCATTGGGGGCATTTATCAATTTTCCAATTTCTCTTTGTACCTCTCTATTTAAATTTCTCCTGTATGTTGGGCTTTTGCTCTCTGACTGTAGATAGAATTCCTCCATGTGTCTGGGGAAGATAGACACTTGGTTGTGTAATTTCATATATATGAAACTTAGCAATTGAAGGGAGATTAATAGTCTTTGTTCCTACATTTGATAGATTGTTAGCAATCAGCTGATTGACTGATTGAGTTATAGTCTCACCTCTTGGACCAATCACTGTAATTCAGGAGATAGGACACTAATATTGATCAGGTTGGAATCACCCTACTTTGGCAGAAATTACTATTTTCAACAAACGCTTTTTCCTTTGGTGAGGGATGCAGAGCTAAATTATATATTCAAGCTTCCCTTCCATTTATGTGTGGACAAGTGATTGAGTTTTGGTCAATGGAAGCAAAGTCCCTCTCTTCCAATCCTCATTCACATAAACTTACCAAACACTACTCTACTCTCTTTTTTATCCACCAGCTGACTAGAGACAATTTTGAGAAACTAGAAAGAAGCCTTAATTCCTGAATTAAGTGGCCCAGTAGGCCACTCACCAACCATGAATATCTGTATTGGATTTTACATAAGTTTGATTCAGAAGTTTGTACACTGTAGCAGTTATCAATGTTTATTGTAATATAACTTTCTGTCTCATGTAATTGATTGTCAGCTTCTTAAAAACTTCATGAATTTGGGGAGAGGTGGTTTTCCAAGGACAAAATGATAGGCAGATTTCAAAAAGTATATATAATTCTACCAAATGCTTTGTATGTTTATAAATCATA